TCTAAGATTCATCAAGTTGATAACTTTATGTATAAATTGTTTACTCTATTAAAACGATAATTTTTATAAATCTACTCGAATTGAATTCACCATCAAACTTTTAGATGTCCTTTGTGTAAATTTTGCATATCATATTTGCATTTTTGTTTAATATTTAATGACAGATTTTTTAAGAATTTCGAATTTAGCAGGCTTTATGTATCGTATTCTGATTTTTTAAAAGTGACCATCGTTTTATCGTTTTCCTTATTTACTTGCCAAGGGCAGAACTGTGCTTTTTGAACTCTGTTGGGTGAGAGTGGAAGTGAAAGTAGATTACTGCTTGACGTAATTCTATGTATATGCACTTTCTGATTGCCCTCTGTTATAATTTTTCTGGTATTCTTCTCAGGAGTTGATTACAGAAATATGTAAATAATAATAAATGTTATTCAGAGTGTTTTAAACGGCAGAACAGCATGTAAAATGTTTATTTACAAGCACTGCCATTTCAAATCGAACTTGATCCATTTTAGCAGTTTGCTCGCTAAGGTCTGAACTTTAGTGACGTACCTGATTTGATCCAGAGTGTCAGTGTATCGTATGGAATATTTGTAAGTAAATATTTAACGTGTTATTCTGCCATTCCTGACACTGGGAAACATATTCTCCAACATAAAGATCTCTTTTATTCTGCAGGGCATTTAATATTTCATGTTTCTAAAACTTTTCTGAAAGAATCGCTTGAGCTGTCTTCAATTAGTACGTGTTACCAGTGCTAACGTACGAATTCGAAACAGGAACCCTGAGCATAAAAACTGTTCACAAGGTCCAGTCGACGCGTTGCAACGTGGAAAGGGGTCATTTGAAAACAACAAGAAAAACTACGGTAACGAAGATCGGATTTGAAAAGAAACAGGGGTCTGCAATGCTGTTGCAAGAAGAGCAGATGCATCATAGTGGTGCATTTTATTTTGAAGCATTGAAACAATCACTGTAGTTGGTAAAGTCAGATATTGATATCTTCACATTGTAAATATAGTATGCTCGGTGCACTTTTGTCGAGAATTCTAACCTGCTCCGAGATTCGTTCATGTATAACATTAAGAGATCAGAACTTAATGACGGTATCTCTCTCGGCTCATCACCTGTTGATTGAATGGAGGCGGACAGTGATTGACAAAGTCTTATAAGTCGACATTGATTCAACGATGATTCATTAGGCATATCGAATTGTGAGTATTAATAACGTAATGAAGAATCATGTCTGACAGCGTCGATCATGATGCATCGAAAAACGGTCGGACCAGTTTGTCGTCAGTACATAACTGATTTTCTTCTGGTTAACCGTTTGTTTTTCTGTAACTCTGTAGCTTGATTGCTGAAAATTTGTTTTTATTATTGCTATTTACTTAATTTATTATTGTCGTTGTTTATAAATCTCATTCTTAATATTATTTAGTGTTCCCTGCGATTGTCGGCCATTGGAAGAGAGATCAGCGTTCTGGTGCAACCAAGCGATTTCGTTAAATGTTTAAAGAAACGTTTTAAGCTGTTGAAACATTATAAAGACTTTGTTGTGAAATGATATGCTGTCGATGTTCTCCTATCTTCTCCATACATGCTTCGATTAAGGTTTTCATACCAGTCTGCGATTCATTTGCTTCCCACTGTTTATTTACCTTCACGTTGGACGATGAACTTTTGCTTATCATCGTTTTTCCTTTCGGCTTTATTAGCGTGGTGATGGCAGAGGCGGCAGAGAAGCGGATTCAAGATGCGTTGGGCGATTTCGTGCACGATATTGACAAAGATCACCTCCGCGATATTCAGGCAAATTGCTGTAGTTGTCAGCTCTAGTGACGCTTGCTTTGCTTTTCAGAGGGAAATGCACGTTTGTGCAGCGCATTGCTGTGAGGACAAGCAGCTGAGCATGGAGTCGGTTGATCGATGTGTGAAAAATTGTTCGAAACGGGGTCAAGCGGCCCAGGAATACATACAGGAAGAGATGAAGAATTTTCAGGTAATGACAAATAAATAGTTCTTCGTAGCAGCTGAGAGTTTCTGATTAAAATTTTTGTTTGATCCCACTGTTTGGCTGATTGTTTTAACGGAGTCGAAAACGGGTTATAATTGTTGCAGTTCGGCCCCTGTCATTTTGTACTGATCTGCAGTTATATGTGGAAAATTAGATTTACATACATATTTCAGTTTCTGATACCGGATTTATTCGCGTAAGCTCATCGCTCCCTAACTTCTAGATGCCTTGGTGAAGGGGGGTGGTAATTTAAGCAGGCTACTGTTGCATGATGTTTGTACCCCTCTAGTGCACTGGATGCAGAAGGCATAACTAAACTGGGCTGAACATAGTCCCGTTCATGCAGCAACTAAATCCGCCACTACCTCTAGAAAAACATGTGCACAAAGGATAATTCTGATGTTCTACATAGCTACAACATAGTAGTTTGCTGATTACGCAGGTAATCGTAACATTCTAGTAACGGTCCTAGTTTTTTTCCATCTGTAGACGCCTCCTTGCTTCTAATCGCAGTTGGAACCGATCTCAGAATCCTGTTCGACTCAGTGATGCACTCTTATATCCATTTCAGTGAGTGCTCAAATTTCATGGGACCATCGTCTGCTTCAGCGGTCCATCTTAGCGTCTAGAAGAAATGGGCAGTGCCCTTGTGCTGAGTAAATCCAGCATCAGAAATCGAAATATAATGATCACCGATGGAATTGGAGAGTTACAGTTTGGTAGCTGCGCCAAACGTCTGGGTCAACTTGTAAATCTCATGTTACGGCTATTACAGTCTTTCATCCATTGTTCGCTTAGGAAAGAATAAATCGGTGTGCCTTGGATTGTCGAGATCAGGTTCGCGACATGATGGAGACGTCGAAGAGCGAACATGTGTCAGCTGACCTGCAGCAGAAGGCGGACAATTGCCTGATGAAATGCGTCGATGACCACATTCGATTAATTCCGGGTCTCAAGAAGCGTGTTACTGATTTCCTCATCAGCAACCGCTAGGAAGCGATTAGCCAACCAGTGATTTTTGCTGATCTTGTTGGCTGAAATGCCGTCGTTAGAATTCACTGTAGTTTTATTGCTGGGTGAATAAAATTATTCAAGAAAGAAAGGTAATTGGTGTAATGGGTTATTGGTTTGCCTTATCCGTTGTAGTGTAATTTCAAACTGATGGTGAGGCATAATTTTTTTCTTATTGACTGCAACTTCCCTTTAGAAATGTAAGAAATTCACCCCTCCATTCTTCGGTGCAACTAGC